CCTGCTGGTTTCATGGATAGAGCAGGCGTCTTGTTTCCAAGAACTGAGAAGGTACCAGTGAAAATGGATTCCCAAGCCCATGGGCAACAGGGATTGCTGGGCTGTGATGACCAGTGTTTTAAAATGGAAATTGGATAAGATGGCAAGGTTATACAGTTGGTGCTCAAGCCTGAGCCCTGCAAGTGCTCCCTTTGCCAAGCTCCTCCGGAGTCAGGGACACTGGGGAAAGGCAGAGGCTCAGGAAGCTCTTTTCCTCCTTACAAAACCAGTTGGGAGTAGGCGTGTTAGAAGAGATTATTTGAGTGTAGTGAGGACCTGAGTACAGTCAGGACCAAGCTACACATGGTGCTTGGTTCCCCAGCATCAGAGCATATGGATTAGTATGAATGTTGTAGTTCATGATACGGCAGTTAGTAACGTGTGTACAGAACTACAGTGTTCGTGAGACCTGAAGAGGGGTAGGGAAGGTACTTTGCATTTTTTCAGCTGTGGAGCTCAGTGCTTTGCCAACCCACGAGGCTGCAAACCCATGACTGCAAATGCAGAAATTCATTACTTAAGGGAGAGGCCAGTGTGCATATAGACCTTTTTGCTTTTGAATTGTGAATGCTCCCAAGCTAGTGCTTGCAGTGATGAGGGGCTTGTGGGTTATGGATGTTGGTTTGTTGTCTTTGAACACAAAAGCTGAGTTTTTCCATGACTTTGATTTCCAAAAGCTGGAACTTGAAAACATTCACTATCGCAAAACAGAACACAAGAGCTGGTGATGCTGCACGCCCCATTGTATGTGGTTGTAGTGGATTGATACCGTTCATGCCAGAAATCATTCTGGCTACGGGATGAAAGGGTGTGATGAAAAGGCATCGCGTTTGCTCAACTTTGTGCATACAGATAATGCAGAGAGAACAGTGTCATGAAGAGTTGTGGTAATTGATCCTTCTGCTCTTGTATTTTTTAATCAAAGCTGGCCTTTGCCGGAGTTTGACCCAAGTCAGATCCGACTGATCGTGTACCAGGACTGCGAGAGGAGAGGACGGAATGTCTTATTTGACTCCAGCGCTAAAAGGAAAATAGAGGATGTTTCGGTGTCGGTGAGTATCTGACTGACTTACATGGTTGTGGTCTGTATGCTTTTAAATGGCAAGATTGCTGTATGACAAAGGGTCTGTTCCATTCACATTAGCATTTAAACATCAGTTATACGCAGGGCTATATTTAAATGCCTGTTGCAAATGATTCAGGCTCCAGTGATTTCACTCTTCACAGCTTTAATTACTGTAGTGGGCTCTTCATTCCCGGGGTCATCTACTTTCTGCTCTTGCAGAAGGATTCCTTCCTGGGGCTGCAGCAGGCAGTCCTGAGGGGTTGAGGCAGGGCATCAGCTGGTGTTTATGGATGTGTTTTTACACCATGGTGGGGTCTGCATTAGTCCTGTCCTGTGTCCTCAGGTGTCCTGTTTGGGCAGCTTTCACCAGTTCTTGTTTCTGCACTTTGCTGACAGTTTTTCACACAAAGTTACTTGAAAACTTTTCCTCTGCTTTTCCTTTTGGCATGGTCTGCATGGTAATGTGTTAATTGAAACTGTAATGGGTGCAGTCAGATGAGGATACTTCCTTCTAAGGGCTCTGGCCAGAGGATTAATTTCTACCCACAGCGCTATTGTAAGTGGTTGTGTGAGGTTGGACAACTTTGAACTTCCTTTTCACCATCTCTAAAAACATTTGCAAACCATTTTAAGCTCTGCAAGCAGAAAGCACTGTCTGAGCTGAAATTTATGATCCCAGCTGCTTTTACCCATAGAACCTACTCTGTTCTGCAAGCAGGAGTACACAAAATAACATGTTACCCCAAGTCCTGGTTTTCATGTTGGGTACTGGAGAACAGCCAGAAGATTCTTCATCCAGCTTTGTAAACTGCTTCAGCCTGTTGCTGAGTGCTGCCAGCCTGATGCTGCTCATCCCGAGTGCTTCCTATATCCTAATTCTGCACATCCTAACCTCTGGGAGTCACTTTGTGTCTCACTGGACACTAACTTCCAGGCTCCTCCATCACTTACCCTACCTCTTTTACAACCATGAGTCAAGATGACAGTTTCCTAGTTCTCTCTGAGAATTGATGAAGTAAAGCAAGTTTCAGAAATGTTGAACAAAATACATCTCTTTTTCATTTTAACTTGGTAGAATGGTTTTATAGTTCATAAGTTCCTGATTTCCTGGTAAGAACCTCTGGAAGAACAGTATTTAAAGACAAGAGATCTTTCAAAGTGGTTTATTGATATGAATTGCTGGCTGTGCTTATTACTATTATTTCATTAATTATAAAGTACTATTTCATTAATAAAAAAGACGTATTTCAATTGATTCCTTGAAAGCCTCAAACTTCTTTAAGATAGATGTGCACATGCACAATGAACTTGTAAACTTTACTGCTTTGGTTTATTTCAGGAGGATTATTGGCTGTGGCAGCTCAACAGCAACAGAGTAAATGACTAATAATGAAGCTAATCAGGTTCCATATTAATCTATCCTTTTTCTTTGCTAAAAAGGGAGGGAAATAGCTGTATTCACCATCTGTATGAAATGAATATGTGAGACTGGTGGAGGAACACTGTTCCCAGGGTGTTAGAAATGCCAGTACTCGTCTCTAGTAACTTGATATATTTCTTCTTTTTTTTTGTGGTATTAGGAGACTTTGAAAGAGATTCTGTTGCAACCTTTGCTTGCCATGATACCTGCCTTACAGAGCACTCAGATAACATCACGTCAGGCAGAGCTTTCCTTGTAAAGAGCTTTGCAGTAGCAGAAACACTGTGCAGGTAAAACGGTGCAGAAGGGTCCTCAGCTCAGCTCAGTGCAGGCGTGTGCGGTCAGCAGCAGGCTCTGGCCATTGCCAAGGCTTTGCACTGTTGAGTTTTCTTGCTCTTTATCGTGATTCTCATTACCAGGACACACCCTGCCTGTACAGAGCCAGATCCTGGCTCTAAGCACATTCCAAGGCACTGTTGCCCTTTTGCAGCCAGACGTGTGTGGGCTGGGCACTCTCCCTTCTGAAAGGGCATCTGTTCAGCACCCCACAAAAGCCAGCGCTTTCTGCATCTCTCCTTCCCTGCCCCATTTCCTAGTGTGATTTATACCTCTGGATTTGCAGATAACACTGGGGGGAGGTTTGCAAAAGTGCACAGCAATAGCCAGACCGTTCTGGTTGAAGTCTAATCGCTCTAATGTGGAGAACTGAGAGGGTTTCAGTTTGCTTTACATTGCTGTGCTCTTCAGTTCCCATTTTCTGTTGCTTATGAGATGTGAAAGCAATTATAATTTAAGAGTTGTACGCCTGCAGCAAGGTGAGATATACTTTGTTCTATTTTATACATCTAATCTCTACGTATGTCGAGAGTCATGGACCAAGGCTGACAATGTTTCAGTCATTTGGATTCTGTAAAGGAAGGGATGGTAATAAAATTCAAAGAGCATCAGAGCAGACTTTTCCAGACGCAGATGTTTCAGGATATAAAAAGGTAGGCTCTGCCTTCTTGATGAGTGAAAACTGCAGAGTTTGTGCTCACACCAACCTGAGCTCTAATTATTAAAGCGTTACTAGGCTCATATGATCCGTGAGGGAAATGTGACTATAACACAAATAAGGATTTTGTGTTTTCATTGGAGCTTCAGCCTCGTCATGCTTCAATAAAGCCAAATCTTCGGTGCACCAGGGTGTTGGGAGGGTGCTGCACAGCGACACACAGAAGGCAGCTGGCCGTGTGCAGTGTGGCCATTGAAGTATGTTAATAGCACGGGAGAAGTGATGGTTTCCCCGGGTCTTGCTAGAGTTAAACTTGGCGAGTGGAGCGCAGGAGCAGCCGGGAGGCTCCGGGAATGTTGGCCGAAGGCAGTGCCAGGCGTTCCCACCGAGGCCAGGCGCGGATCCACCACAGGCAGCTGTGGGCGCTTGGCATGGGGGAGGCAGAGAGATCCCCTTTGTGCCTCCTATGCCTTTTTTGGTACTGAGCAGGAGAGGTTCTTTCTGGCTTTCCAGAGGATGGGATATTGATGAACAGGCTCTGTAAGCGGAGCTGAGCGGCTGCTGTGTCATGAGCGTCAGGAAATGGGGTAATTCCCCTGAGTCCTGCGGGGTATTACAGAAGAGAGTGGCTGCCCTTTCCAGGCCTGTGACACTAGGAAATGAGGAAATGTGTCAGGACAGGCACTTGCATATTGAGTACACCAGGGCAGCAGTTTCCAGCACCTAAAGGGGCTACAAGAAACCTGGAGAGGGGCTTTGGACAAGGGTCTGTAGGGACAGGACAAGGGGAATGGCTTGAACCTGCCAGAGGGGAGATTGAGATGAGCTCTTGGGCAGAAGCTCTTCCCTGTGAGGGTGCTGAGGCGCTGGCACAGGGTGCCCAGAGGAGCTGTGGCTGCCCCATCCCTGGCAGTGTTCAAGGCCAGGTTGGACACAGGGGCTTGGAGCAACCTGCTCTAGTGGAAGGTGTCCCTGCCCGTGGCAGGGGTTGGAGCTGGAGGAGCTTTAAGGTCCCTTCCAACACAAACCGGTCTGTGTTTACTGTCCGCTTTACTAAAAAGCCTCCATCTACACCCAAACATCCACATTCCTCAGGGTTTGGGGTATCAGAGTCTTTCTACAGGCAAACTTGTGGGTTTGATCCACTGCCTCCTCTAGAGTTACTTCAGAGCTCGTTCTTCCAAGTGTCTCATTTCTAATGGGGCTGTATGACTTGATCTGCAGGTGAGAGCGTTACGGGTTTCCACTGTCGGACTCATTCCTGTGCCTGTCTGCTCCTCTTTGCCAGTTCTCTGCCTGGTGACGGCACACCAGCTCCCGCACACGTGCATCCAGGCGGCCAGGCTCCCACGCCAGGAGCAGCGTGTGAACACACATATGCTCCTCAAGACCAGATACCCAGCCTGGTTTGGATTTCAGACCAAGCACAACAAGCAGCTCCTTTTCCTCTTTGAGGTGCAGAGGCCAGGTGCCTGGCTGGTGCTGAGCTCTCCGCTCGGCTCTGCCTTTCCTCACCCCTGTGCTTGGCTTCTCAACCTTGACGCCGCATTCGCGCCAGCCTCGCACGACGCCTCCCTTGTATCTCACTGTGCTGCTGCTGGTGTGTGGTGTATGAGTTATCTCACCATGGGCAAAGGCCAGATGGAGTATGAGGAGTTTTCTTCCAAAGGCTGGAAATTGGGTGGGATAAAGATGCCACGGAAATGGAGGCGCCTTGAGGGAGAAGTGGAAGTAAATCAAGGAAGATGCTGGGAAGGGAAATGATGTTTTAGGCCTTTCCTTGAAGCAGGCTGAATGAGTTCAGGGATGGGGTTAGCCATCCCATTTAGCTGCTCCTTTTCCTTTCCCATGGTCCACTGGTGACACATGACAAGACAGCGGTTACCATTTGGGATTTGACTAAAGTGGCTGCTGTTGGGTATGTAAGAAGCTGAAAGACTCCCTAAGTCTAAAGGTCAGCCTAGGGGACAGTGTGGAGTCCAGAGAGGAAGATGGAATGTTAAGGGACCATGAGGAGGAGGGAGGAAAGAAATCAAGAGCTAAGCATTGTGCTGAGCAGGGATCTCGAGTTTGGGTGGTTTGCCTGGGAAGGCAGAAAAACAGGGACTTGGAGAAGGGCAGTGACTTGTTCCCAGGACCCAGAGGCAGAAAAGGATTTTCAGGAGGGTTTGTCTTGTTTTTTTTGGAAGAAATGAAAGAGAAAAAGTGGCCCCTGAGGTGCAGAATGTGGGATCTAGAGGTGGATTGGATTTGGGGAGCAAAAAGTTCACTTTTGCCATGTAACCAAGTTGTCTTCATGTTTGGGATAATGTAACTGAAAAGCCATATGACACTTGATCTCCCGCTGCCAAAATTTCTTTCACTCAGATGTCATATTCATCCCAAAGTAGAAAAATGGAATGCTGCTTTAAACAAGCCAGGATTAGCCACGTGCTCCGATATACTTTAGCACTGGATAAATGTTGAACAGCAAATTGCTTTGAGGGATTAGTAACTGGATAGTGAGCCTTTTGCTTTTAGGTGAGTTGTGTGAAATGAGACTCTGGTCTCTCTGGCTCTCGGTGGACAGGTTTCTAAGCAGAAATGGAAGATTACCAGCAGAGTGGGGGAGTGTAGGTTGACTTTACTCCTTCCACTGACCTTTCAGTAACAGAGGAACTTGACAAGCCTGGAAATAAAGGGAGAATGTAGCCCTTGACACCTGCATTTGAGGAAAGAACCTGGGTTTTTACAGCAGCACTTGAAGGGAAGGAGTGAATGTCTGTTGGGGTTACTCTCATGTCCTAGGTGGATGCATACGTTTAATGACAAATTGCATGTTAATAGAGAAAAAAAAGTTAATTTATCTATTTCGGAATATTTTCCCAGCTTTGCTGAAAACCCTGCTCTAGAAATGAGGGACAAGGCTCTTGCAGAGTGGCAGCTTTGCTTGGAGATACAGATTTCTCTATCACTGCCATCACAGTGGTATCTGAGCACCTGCTGTTGCAGAGAGGAGGCAAAGAGTGAAGCATATGATGGCATTTCTCTTTCCTTCTGCCACTCACAGCCCTCACGCATGCACACAGCCTGGATTTGGTTCAACACACCAGGCTCCTTTCAACTTTCTTACTATCCCCACCGCAAAACTTGCCCAGCAGAAACTCCTCTTCCTGGGCACATTCTTTCCACTTACTGAAGAATTTATAGACCTTGTGACAAAGAGTTTAATAAAGGTCTTTGCTGATAAGAGGTGGAGAAAAGAGGCTCGAGAAGCAGAACTGCAGAAGGAAACTCCTTTGTACCCTGTCATACTATAAAGACTGAGTTACCTCCAGCTCTACCTGAGAGGTCCCCAAGGCTTTCAGCAGATGATGACCTCTAATGTAAGAGCTGTGACTGGCAGGAAGCCTTTGGAGCTGGGCGGAATCCGCAGCGAGCTGGCAGGGAAGGAGCACGGAGTGTGACCACAGCGGGGAGAGCAGCGCGGAGCCAGGAGCGGCAGCTGCCCGCGGCATCCTTCCAGCAGATGTTCTGCTTCCAGCACATGGGAGCGTTCCGGAGGGCTCCAGCACCACTTTGCCACAGGCTCTGGTCTGTCGCAGCGGTGTTTGGGAGGAAAACCCACAGTTCCCAAGCTTTCCCTTGTGCTGTTCTTGATTCTTTAAGTTATCTTTTTATTTTTGGAAGCCTGGCTTGAGTATCTGCGGAATATTATATTGGAATGCAAGTAATCCCACTGCTTTGATGCAGAATATCTGGAGATCTGTAGGAGGTAGGATTTCACTGACATTTGGAGCTGCAGAGGAGAGGGGCACTGCAGGTACTTGATCTCATTTTCCAGCAGGTTATTCTTAAGCATGTGCTAAGTTGTAAAAGAGCAAACACCAAAATCCATCACTGAGCTGTGTTTTAGGAGGGATTTACTGGTCACAAAGTTCTGAGAAGGGGTATCTGAAAGATCCTGGCCTCATTTACAGGCTCCTTGCAGGAGTCTTGCTTCATTAAACTCCACTGCAGAGGCCAAACAGCCGTTTTCCTGGTTTGCTATTTAAGTCAGGCAACTATTACTTCAAGGTACCAAGCTCCCCAATGGACATGGGGAAAGCTGCTGTGCAGCAAAGTGCAGTGATACTGAGAAGAAATGATTTAAAAGTCAGTAATTTGCAAACATAGCCTGTGTGTTTTTAATGCATACAGGGTTTGTTCCACCTGTAGAAATGCATCCATGGCTTTACAGTCCTCAGGAAGCTCAGTTAGAGTTGTAACTTTTGAGAAGGAACTTTCAACATCTGATGGAAAATGCAAGCCGAACTGTGGTTTGCCTGCAGACGCTGCTGTAACCCTGTGGATTTGATGTGGTTTTATCACATGATGCTTGCCTAGCCTGGGACATTGTTGTTTGTGTCAGAGATAAAATGCAATTCGAGTTCACGAGTTCCTACTGAAGTCATATGATGATCATTCACATGTTCCAGCCATTGTGCACTGTGCTCGAGCCATTAGCACATCTCCATATTGCATGAATACAGCGATGTCGTAAGGAGAGGATGCTGCGAGGGGAGGCTGCACATGTCAGTGAAGCACAGCACTGGTGAACGCTTCCTTCCTTCCCCTCTGCTCAGAATTACTGATTTGTCTGCACATTTTTCCTTAAGGCTTTCCATGGCTGCAGCTCTCTGTTGGGAGCAGCGCTGCGGAATGCCGTGTGGAGCTCGCTCGTCCCTGATGTTCTGCTGTTTTGCTAATTCTCACCCACAGTTAAGGCCAAATAGAAGTCACTTGTCCCTAACTAAGGAACCTGCACAGCCCAGGGCAGAGGCACAGGATTCCCACCTTCTCCCTCATCAAAACCCCTCCGCAGCAGTCGGGCAATTGTCTTTTTGTTGCTGGTTTTCAAGCAGAGTCATGAAGTTACCACCTTGTGCCTTGGGTATTTCACACTGTTCTTTATGCCTTTTCCTTTTTTTTTCGTAGCTACTCAAGATCAAGGCAAGTCATGATCTTGAATGAAGGGGGGAAATTTGTGATGTGGACCCCTGGGGCCAGAGATGAAGCTGTGACACATAACAGTACTGCTTTATTTCCCTCTGTCCCTTGAACCTTGCTTCCCATAGGGTTTGCTTCCAGTGTGCTCTTTCTGGTTTGGTGATTGTATAGGAGATGTTCATAGAACCCCAGACTGGTTTGTGCTGGGAGGGACCTTAAAGCTCCTCCAGCTCCAACGCCTGCCCCGGGCAGGGACCCCTTCCACTAGAGCAGGTTGCTCCCAGCCCCTGTGTCCAACCTGGCCTTGAACACTGCCAGGGATGGGGCAGCCACAGCTTCTCTGGGCACCCTGTGCCAGCGCCTCAGCACCCTCACAGGGAAGAGCTTCTGCCTAATATCATGTTAATTAAGAAAGTTTTAGGGCAGAGTTAGTGTGTAATTCTGAGCAGTGCAGACTATTCCTGTCTCCTGGTGCTGCCCACTGGGAAATGGAAGTAACTCCAACCTTAGCGTGGGTGTGTTGAAGTGTAATGAGTACATGTTAAATACACTGAGATCTTTAGGTGAAGAGGGCTGCCTAATGCTTTTTCAAATGGCATTGACTAACGTGGATGCTGATTCTGCTTGGGATGCCAAGATTCACAGGGGAAATCCCAGGTGTTTTTAAGCAGTGAAGGAAACAGTAGTGAAGCATCTCCGGTGCCAGTCATGGCCAATGCTGTGTGGGCACAGTGGGCACAGATCCTGCCCGCTCTGTATGTCAGCTCCTGCTCCATCCGAGCCCTCCCAACTCCCTCTCTTGCTGTGCTTTCTGCCTGAATCTCCATCAGAAATCTCTCCTAGGACCATTTCTGCGTTGCTTTGTGAAACTTTTCTGGCTTCCTTGTAACACTGACTGTGTTTTTCAGCTTGGTCCATTTTCAGCCGCACAATTCCCTTGTACTGGAAACAAGAGGAACGTGTCACCTCTATGCCACTCTTTAAAGTTACTAAGGAACTTGGACACAGCGAGGGAGAGAGCTATAACAGTAGTATCTTTTCTCCTCAGTTATTCTTGTAACATGAATCTCTTGAATCCCTTGGTGTTCTTGCTCGATTATTCCTAATTAGCATGCTTTCCTGTCCATGGTGATCTGCTCCTGGTCAGGATTTGTGCCCATCACACTGCTGGGTCACCTCCACCCCAGTGGGCACAGGGAGTGAGAGGGAGGCAGCTGGAGACTGTTGTTGCCATCCTGCCTTTAAATGCTTTGGTGCCATCCTTTCTCCTAATCCTGGGGCTTAAAAAGTCATTTGTAAAGCTTTAGAGATGGATGGTTACTTAGGGAAATGGAGCCGGAATGACTTGCGAGCTCCTGGCTCGCAGCTCAGCCTTATCTTGTACATCCAGGCTGCAAGAGACACTAATAAATCCTCTGTTAACTGTTTTCCTGGGGCATAAACCTTTCAGCTGTTAAATATCTTACCTAAGCAGGTAGGTACAGTGCTGCTAAACAGTTTCAGATCATGGGTCTTAGTGTGTCCTGTACATTGTCTGTGTTTCAGAAACTCTGCAGCGATGCTCAGGTGCGAGTGTTCGGCAAATGCTGCCAACTGAAGCCTGGAGGAGACAGCTCTTCCTCCTTGGATAGTTCAATCAATTCATCCTCCTCATTCTCTGATCCAAAAGAGCAATGCCCAAAATACCAGGTGAGTCACTTCTGCCTTTGTTTTTTTGCATAACCCGTGTCAAATACCAGTGTCAGGTGAGGTACTGAATGTTATAAAGTGCTTGAAACCTGAGGCTGGCAGTGGAGAGCAGTTTTCAGTCAACATCTGGCTTTGGTTCTGAGTCAGTAATGTTTAATTCTGTAGCTTTGGGGTTGAACAAGTGTAAAACCAACCAGCTGGGTCTCTTGGGATGCATCTTGAATGGCAGAGATTTCTCCAGGGCATTTGTTCTGTCTCATGACCCAGGTGATAACACTGGTTCGGTACGATGAGACTTGGCACTAATACCTTGTCTTGGTATAGGTGAGAGAGTTTATTTTGCTTTACTGCTAAATACCAGGGAAATAACAGAGAAAAGCACTATCTGTAGGGACAGTCTGTGTAATAGCTTTATAACAAGGGATTCGGTGTGCTTGAGTTACATTTTACATAAGAGATTTTGGCCGTGAGAGTAGCTGGAGTCATCTGACACGGATATATTTCTGTCATCTCTCCTTCCATGGATCACAAGTGTTTTATATTAAGCCGCCCTAAAATAGAACTAAGCCCTTCCTCTCTTTGTAATGAAGTAATTGTGTGTTTGAGGGAAGCTGCTATCTCCACAACCTGTTCTGAAGTACAGTACTACTGATGTCTTAATCTGCCATAGATATAAATGAAGAACCTTTCAGTGCTGACTTTCCCACTGTCACGACAGCTCTTGCTATATTTGGTGAGCTGTGTATTCTTGTTTTCTCTGTCTCATCACACTATTTTCCACAGCTTTAGTAAGGTGGCTGAAGATCTGTTTTCCATTCCTCCCTTCCTGGAAGGGCATTTAGCTGCGGTTCTGAAAGGAAGAGACATTTCTGTCAGCAGCTTCCTTCCAGCACAGAATAACCTCCTTCATGCATTGTGTGATCAAGAAAAATGACGCCCCCCACTATCCAGATACTGTTTCTCCTACTGGGCAGGCTCTGTGCAAACAATGGTCAACGTTATTAAAGGAAATTAACTTCAGTGGTTGGCATGACAGTGTATTTTAAGGCTGTGGAAAGTTTTCCCTTTCAAGTCCCTGTTTCCTCACGCGTATCACTTAGTCAAAACCTGACTGAGTTGAGCTGAACTGGTGTGTGGCTACGTGACAGGCTCAGAAAGTGGTGAGAGAATTCCAGCTTTGGTGGGTCTTCCACAGTGTATCTGTTGTAAACTACCTACTGCATTCCCCATGCTCCTTCCAGGCTTCCCAGCGAGTGAGCAGGGAGTTGTAAATACAACAGTTCTTTGCTGCACCATAAAATTCAGTGTCATGTGTGCAGAAGGGCTGGGGTAAGTTTGTGCAGACATCACTCAGCCTGGCATTCCCCATCTTCTAACTGCGGCGTGTGAAACCTCAGAGGATACTTCATGTACTTGCAGTATTTATAAGTCCTTTTGTTTGTTTGCTTTTGAAAGCTATAAAATAGAAGGCCAAATAATACAATGCTGTAGGACTTTTAAAATAGTTCTTTCTGTTTCCTTGCTTAAATACGCTTGGACTATATATGAGCAACTTTAATTGCAAGCTGGGACACAGGGCTTTGTTCCAGCCTTCCCTATTTTTAATTACGTCCTATCCAGAGCCCTCACAAATGTGATTAGAATCCATTAAGGTGAAGCTGAATTTGGTTCCAAGCTTGCCCACAATTATTTGCACGTATGACACGAGTGTTACCCAGTACCTGCCTGTCTGAAAGTCCTTCTGATTTGTTGATCATGATTTGACATCTATTTGTCCTGCATTTTTAATTGGCATCTGTACTTAGTTATTGCTAAGACAATACAAGCAGCAAGTGGAATATTAAATGCTGTCAATATATTCAGAAATGTAATTTCCAAGTCATGCAAATTGAACTGCCTCTGAGATGCTAACACACACTTGGGTGTATTTTATGATCAGGTTTTACGTGAGCTGGTAAATCTGACCTGGGGCATTGGTCTGTCCCCAGACTGTCAGTGCTGGAGGTTGTGCCCTTTTTGCCAGATGCTCCTTGACTATTTTTTGTTTGAGGTTTTTAATATTTAAGCCCTTTCCTCAGTCGATTGCACTCTCCTTTGGTCTTGAGTGACCTTTCTTTTGCAGCATTAGAGGCCCAAGGAGTTGAGCTGTAGCAGTGTTTCCAGATTACATGTATTAAACATGTGCATCTTCTGTTATGCATGGTAAAATTAAGTGTAGATGCAATGCCAGACTGAAACAGGTCATGGGTGCCTCTTACCCTCTGCCTTCAGCACTGCTTGTGTCTGTCTTTCAGAGGAAAGGGAAACCCCTATAATTGAATTAGGAAGCAGCTGATTTTCACTTGCCTCTTTTTACTTCGGTTGCTTGACAAAGAAGATCAATACTTTCTCTGCGAGCATTTTCCTCAGCTTTAGAATTAGATTTTCACGACAGCAGAAAGTTGAAGCCAAAACCAACCATCAAGGGCTTGACGTTTATTCAGGATGAGTCCTTCCATTGAAGATCTGCAACAGGTTTAAAAATACCCAACGTAACGTTTGGCTGTAGCAATTTGAAGTGTTCTTCCTGGAGGATTTCATGATGCTGCCAGACCTGTCATTTCCTAGAGCCATTAATGTCTGTGCTTATGCTTCCTTGGAGCTGCTGGCTCATCCTGGCTGATTTTGAAGTCTGGTTTTTCCAGTACTGCCTCCAGTGCACCTCCTCAGGCTGGTGTTTCTCTGAGACCCAGCTAAGGATCGGATTTTGCCCTGTCATGTGAACACTAACAAACCCTGCAGTTGTATCCTCATCTTTATAGCTGTGGCTCCTACGTTGAGTCATCCCCTATCTTTCCTGCTCTGATAGCAGATTTCAGAGGTTAACAGGAGTCTGATGAAGTACCATCATCTTAATTGAGAGTGCTTGAGAAGAGCTAAAAATTGAGAAGCCTTCTAAGTGCGTCGCCTTTTGGCTGATTAATGTTCCCTTGTTCCTGCCCTTGCTCTGTAGGGTGGTGTGAGCAGAAACATCCAGGGGTCATTCTCATATGACTCCATACTGCTGGTAGGAGCCCACAGTGTGGACACCCTGTCCTTGATCATGCTCCGAGCTCACTGATGCTGGGTGAAGTAGTTAGATATATTCCAAGCCTGCACAGGAATCCGGGTGAGGATCCTGCTGGTTCAGAGCTTGGGCAAGGGATACGGAGATACTGCACTTGGCATTTTCCAAACACAAGATTATTTCTGTGACTGGATTTAGGAACCTTTTGGAAGGATTACAAAAGAATGTAGTGACAGGACAAGGAGGAATGGCTTTAAGCTGTTCCTAGATACTAGGAGTAGATTCTTCCCTGGGAGGGTGCTGAGGCGCTGGCACAGGGTGCCCAGAGAAGCTGTGGCTGCCCCATCCCTGGCAGTGTTCAAGGCCAGGTTGGACACAGGGGCTTGGAGCAACCTGCTCTAGTGGAAGGTGTCCCTGCCCGTGGCAGGGGTTGGAACTGGATGAGCTTTAAGGTCCCTTCCAACCTGGGATTCTATGAACCACCTGAGCTCTGAGTTAGTCATCAGGATATTTTAAATTGTTCAGGCCAAGGCACAAATGGAGACCCACCACCAATGTTCTTATTTAGAGATGAAACAGCCCTGGATAAAGGGACAGTAATCTCAGTGATCAAAAGTATGCAGACAAGGTGAGTGTCAGCTGAGCAGTCGTCTCCAGTTGATGGCCCTGAGTAACTTCTAATTCTAGGTTTTGTTTGCAGTATTTGCTCTAGCCTGTGATGTGGCACAGTGAGGTTCCTCCTCTCTATCTACAGCATGCTTTACAGCAAACTTTCACCAGCCAAGAAGCACAGCTTAAGCCTCGCATCGTGATGCTACAGCTCTTTGCTATACAAAATACCATCCATGGATAAGTTTTCAATCAGTCTGTGTCAAGAAAGCACTGCTCCAACGCACAGGCTTTAGAAGATCTCCAGGGATCTTGTGATTCTTGTTGTCACGCAGACGCAAGGTTTAGCCTTAATGGTTCTTATTCAGTAAAGTGTGTTACCAACACTTAGACTTTTCAGTCCTCTGACCCAGTGCCATTGCAATCTGCTTTCCCTCACTCCTGTGCTGGGTTAAGTTTGTTGGGTGATTTTAGTAGTTTAGCTCACTGCCAACGTCAAAGTCACTATCTGTGCTGGCATGATCTTTATTGAGCTGGTCAACTTGCTGTGTCCAACAGTGGCATAGCAAGACATTTTGCATATTCATCTTTTAAATAAAGAATATTTCCCTTAGTTGTATGTTCCTAATAGAAGTGTGCTTCTAAAGTCCATAAAACCAGGTGTTGGTGGACTTCTTTTGCAGGGTTCTCGGTGTTCCTCAGATGCTAACATGCTTGGAGAGATGATGTTTGGCTCTGTGGCCATGAGCTACAAGGGCTCCACGCTGAAAATTCACCAGATCCGGTAAGACTGATTTTGTTACTGCTGCTCTTTTCAGAAGACTTACTCCTTAGTGCTAACATGTAATGAATTGAATGCCACAAGTGCAGAGCACAAGGAATTTCTGTGTTTGCTTTAAAGTTATTCTGAGGTCAGTTTTGACACAAAAGGCTCTTTGGGTCTATAAAATCTAGAGGGTTGTGCAATGGAAAGCAAAGCCTGTCTTGGCACTGTGTTTCTGACTGACATCTTCCTTGTTGTCCTCTAGCTCACCTCCTCAGCTCATGCTCAGCAAGGTTTTCACAGCTCGCACTGGAAGCAGCATCTATGGAAGTCTGAATACGTGAGTCCATTGCAAATTGTACCTATTGCACATTGAGCAGGTGAACGTAAGAACACAGAAGACTTTATTTGGACCCTCCAATTCTTACTCTAGAAAAATATCTTCTTATTCCCTGATCTTTTACATCCTGTCACTAGTGTCCTCACCTTCCCCTTGCAGCTGTCTGCACCTCAGTTTGCTTTAAGTGAATAAATGAACCATTCCTTTAATGCTGATATGGTGAAGCTGGATATTGTATAGAAGCATCTGCAACCACCAGAAGAGAAGGGATGAGGACAGAACACTGGGGTTAGGAAATTCAGTCCAAGCTGATGAAAAAGGTGTTATAAAAACATCTGGCTTCAGAAGGTTCAGTGTTTAGTTTTCTGTGTATTAACTGACCCACCTGAGAATGTGGCTTAGGCTATGAAAGCTTCTTATAGTGGAAGCCTGGGTTCTTATCTTGTTCTTTCAATTCAGGCCGTAACAAAGTACCACTGTGTTCTATTGAAATGCAAATCTCTTTTTCTGTTGTATGTTTTATGATTGTTACAGGTTGCAGGACAGTCTTGAGTTCATTAATCAAGACAGCAATACATTAAAGCCTGACCACAGTACAATTATGAATGGACTTCTTGGGAATATAGGTAATTACAAACAGATTTGATTTTCTGGTATCTTTAATTGAGTAATCACAGATTCAAGAATATGAAAGTCTTATAAATAGAATTAAATAGTGGAAAAAAAAAGCTAAAGATAAAAGAGAAAATTAATGTTGGTATGGTTTGGAGGAGAATGAATCGTACAGTTCAAGCAATTGGCAGTGGTTCAATACATACAGCTGTGCATGTGTATATAAAATACATAATAGAAATATTCAGATACACTTAAGTTCACATACAGAAGATGTTGGAAAATACCAGCCTGCAGAACTTCCTAAGCAGCGTATCTCAGATCAGGGAGGAGGGGTTCTGCCTGGCCCAGCTCCATGGTTTATGTTGTTCATAGTTTTCATTCTGTCCTGTACTCTGGCCACTTGAGCACATGTTGGCTGCGTGGTTCATACCCGTCAGAGTCAACCTGGCACCGTTGGGCTGCAGTTCTGATCAGATCAGCCACAGCATCTTCTGTTCTCTCCTCTTTCTCTCTGTCTGACCATGGAAGCTAAGCAGTCTGGAAGAGCCTCTTGGTTCTTGGCCTTCCTGGAGGTGCTGTGGATGAAGGCTTTATGGACATTAGATAACAGAAAGAGGGGAAGGTCTTAGCTTTTCCCCTTGGAAAAGAGCTGATAGTAACATACTCTGCTTGGTTGTTCAGTGTGGCAGCCTGAGGAGCTCTTCAGCACATCCTTCCTTCCCCTTGGTTTAGGCTGTTGACTTCCCAAGCAAATGGCTGTTGTAGCAAGTGAAACGAGGGCTGCTTTTGACATTTGATTTCCAGAATATTGCTATATGTAAAACACACTTTCTAGGCTCGGAAGGAAGGCGCGAACTTGATGACTTAGTTACTCTGACTGGGTTTCTGGCTTTGACATGGGCTTTTGGGTTCAAAAGCTGTACACCTCATTTACAACCATTCCCATTTATAAGGGAAGCCAGTTAAAGTTGTAAGAATGTGTTTATTAAATGCTTCCTGAATTTACTAAGCCAGGAAATTTGGAAAATTGCATTTTTTCTTAATATCCAGTATTCCTTTCAGGCTTCAGTTGTGGTTTTTTGCAGCGAATGAGGTGCCCAATCTAAGATCAGAGAGGAACTCACTTCATCAACTTTCAGGGTTTTGCTGTGGTTTGCACTTGGCAAAAGTTTGCTGTATCACCAGCGTGATCTGAACTGCAAGTTCAAATTCAGCTAACACAGCTATGGGGCATGGACTCACTATGATTTAGGTATAGCCAGTGCCACATGGTCATCTGTGCCCAGCTCTGGGGTGAAGAGGACTCCTGCCCACCATGCAGGATGACTGCCTGGGTGCAGGCACCTTGGTGCAATGAGAAGCGGTGAGATTGCCTGCTGGAAGGGGGTGCTGGAGCTGTCTTTGTAAGGGAGCTGCACAGGTTTGCAGTCAGTTCCACAGTGTGTGTTTGCAGCTCCTGGTTCAGTGAGAGGGAACCGTGGTTAAAGCAGGTGAAGTTAATCTGTAACTGCAGCATTTCTGACCGCTGTGTTCAGCAGCGGGGACTGCTCCTGACTCACTGGCTCTCGCCAGGCTGTGACAGAGAAGGGTCTGTGTGTTTTGGTTGGGAACTATTTACAAGCTGCTTTTTTTAGACACCCTGCTTTAAAAAAAAAAAAGCAGTGGTCATGTCCTTTCCTTTAGTGAGTGAAGAGTTAAGAGAATGGCAGGGGGCTTTGTGGAGCTGCAGCCTCCGTGGTTTGTATAATCACAGAACCATGGAATGGTTTGGGTTAGAAAGGACCTTAAAGCTCCTCCAGTCTCAACCCCCTGCCCCGGGCAGGAACACCTTCCACTAGAGCAGGTTGCTCCAAGCCCCTGTGTCCAACCTGGCCTTGAGCACTGCCAGGGATGGGGCAGCCACAGCTTCTCTGGGCACCCTGTGCCAGCGCCTCAGCACCCTCCCAGGGAAGAGCTTCTGCCTCAGAGCTCATCTCAATCTCCCCTCTGGCAGGTTAAAGCCATTCCCCTTGTCCTGTCCCTACAGGCCCTTGACAAAATTAGAAAGCTTTGAGTGAGCATTACCTTCAAATTTAGGAGTGAGAATGGCAACTAACGCATTAAACATACCCATGCATATCTCCTGGCTCTGTGTACAGCAAATACACTCCTCCTCTGGTACCCCTACAACCCAGTATTACTTTTAGAATGGGCTACAGAGACAACTAATACTGATTTGCTACATGATCGTTTCACTAAACTGATGCACTGGCTGTTCTCAGAACAACTACTTCAGCCTGTAATTTTCTGTCGGTTCTCCTAAGATGAGTTTCTGCCTCCCTTCTCCCCCTTCCTCCCTGTTGTCTTCAGCAACACTGTTCCTTATCCCCACCAGTGTGGATGTTAAACCAAACATTGTACTCCACGATGAATCTCCTGTTTGTGATCCAGTTAGGCTTTGAGCCTGCATAAATTAATCATTTCTCAACTTAAAGAAGGGAAAAGAAAGCACCCTTGGAGAGAAACCTCATCCTTGTATGGGAGGCAGTGTAAAGCTGGGTCTATTATTTCAGTTCTGTTAATGCTATGTAGCCCCACTGTAAGCCGTATCCTTGAATCCATGTTCCTGTTAAGCGTAAGAGCTGTTCTCCTGCATAAACTCTGCATTTATGTTGGCTTATCTCTTCTCCCTGCCCTGGCCCCCTCCCTACGGACCGTTCTGCTTTACTAACCTCATTCTCCCCTGTGTATTTTACATTTTGCCATGTAGGTCTTTCCCAGCTTTGCAGCCCCAGGCGGGCGTTCTCAGAGCAAGGTCCGCTCCGCCTGATCCGGAGCGCCTCTTTCTTTGCAGGTTTGCAGTGTGCTGTGTGCTGTGTGCCTAGTCTAGCTGGGGTGACACAACCGTGGGCAGTCCTAGTTTGGCCCTGGAAATAAGATTTTCATGTGGTTTGCATGGACAGCCGTGCCTGCTCTCTTACCTTTTTGGCTACATGCTTTAAATCCCCAGAGGACTGCAGGCATTTTAATAGTTCCTCCTTGTGTGCTGATTTATTTTGGAAACTTACACGTTTAATGGTGGATTTCATATTTCTGGAAATAATATTTCACAATAGTGTGAAGCTATTTTGATCTGGACTTGTTTCAACCAGACTGTGCAAATTAAAGCTAACCTAGGTTCATTTAAAATGGACATTTCTTGCTTTTAGTGCCTGGGTCTTATTTCCATGGCCGAGTAGCTTTTATTTCACACACGTGTTTGTGAAATGTAGCACATTTAAAGACTATTGAGCCTGAGACACTTGATCTTGTCTATATGCAGCTGTGAATCTGGACAGCTTATGGCTTAGCTGAACAACCAACGCACTGCTCGCAATTTAAAAGTATGTATTTTCTTCAAGGAAGCATTGCAAAATCCTTTAAAAATATATATACAATACCTGAGAAAGCTGGTAGGTGATTGAAGTCATGTTTGTATTGGTTTATGATGATGTTTTCTCTATACACTGGCTACTACCAATGTGACCAACATCCTTTTAGTACATTGAAGTTTCATTGAAAAATATCTGTGTAAAGAGACAAAGTTCTAGTTTGCACTAAAATAAGTGTTTGGACTTCAGAAACATGCATACAAGCTTTTCAGATGAGTGTCTTGGCTTGTTCAGCTAAGCAGCCTTTCTGGGTGATGGCCTTGTGCAGTGCTGTTGATCTGAAGTAATGAGCATGGTTTTGTTTCATTAATTACATGGAGATCTGCAAACAAGAAACGAACTGTATATTCCCCTGCTAATTGGTATTCCTTGTTTTACAGTTCATAGCAACCCTATGGATATGCCTGGGAGGGAGCAGAACGAGGACAGAGACAGCGGGATAGCAAGATCTGGTAATGTCTGTTCTGTGTATTAACCCTGTAGACTCCAAAAATACTCACTGAGACATCTAGACATCATCAAATAGTCTTTCCTGTGCTGAAATGTGCTTGTTCTGGTTTGTTATATGCAAGCATTAATGCATACCTGTATGTATACACACAAGTGTAGGCGTCAGGGGGATTGCATTAGGAACCTCACGGAGGTAATCTCAACACCAGAGCAATTTATTAAAGCCTGCTGCAAATAAACAAGCCAAATTAAATATTGAAATGAGCTGGCAGCATTTCTAAATGATACCTGTTGTCGTCTCCTTTCCAGAGTGAGGAGGATGGTAATGATAAAGCAGGAATTTGCCTCCACAACACCCCCATCCTCCTCCCAAATTCAGGATATTGGGCACTTAGTTAAGATTGGGAAGGCTGTTAAAGGATGTGATGAACGTTACTCCTTTCCACAAAGAACCTATTTCCCGATACTCAGGGTTGATGAGCAAGGTGCAGCCCGTATGTTGTCTTTTATGTAAAGCTGCAGGACTGTCTCACCCTTGTATCTTATTAATGTTAGTGTAAACTGGCTATTTTTAGAGAAGAAACACAGATAAACAAGAGAGGAGGCGCTTGAGAAGCAGCACCAGTTTATCTCGAGGGGCTTCATTTAGTCGCTGGTATTATTTTCCAAGCACTCTTTCTTCTGGAGAGATGTTTATTTATTCCTCTTGTTATTGCAGCATCTCTGAGCAGTCTGCTCATCACTCCGTTTCCATCTCCGGGCTCTTCGTTTAACAAAAGCTGTGCTAGCAGTTACCAGCGGCGTTGGCGTCGCAGCCAGACTACCAGCTTGGAGAATGGGGTCTTCCCTCGATGGTGAGCCGGGGATGAGAGTGCTGGTTCCTGCCCAAGAGTTTTCCATCATTGTCAGCTTGATTCTGCTCTCACTGTTGCTTTCTGTGGGGTATTTGCAGAGGTGTAAGTCAGGCTGCACTCAACGCCTGATCTTTTTTAGGATCTGTTTGCTTCGTGGCATTCCATGTTTTGCACTAACTGGGAAGCCTGCAGCAAGATGTAAACCCGTAGGCTGTACTTCTGAGGATAAAAAGCCCTAAAATCCTACTCAAAACACAAATTCTTGGCAGAGATGGGAGAGAACTAAAATACCATCTTCTGATCCCACAAACACTTTGAATCTGGTTCCAGCTTTTTTGATTGCAGGATCAGTTAAGGGTTGCTTGTCAAAAATGGCATCAGAGGTGATGATTTGACAACTCATGCAAACAACCAGTGTTTCTTGAAGTTAAATGTTCAAAAATTGAATTATACAGGAAATGTACAACTTTAATCAGTGGATTACATTAACTTTCTATTTTTCATGCTTCAAGGTCTATGGATGAAAGCTTTAACTTGTCAGATGACAGCTCTGGTCCTAGCCCGGGAATTGTTAGGAAGAAGAAGATAGCAATTGGGGTTATTTTTTCCCTCTCAAGAGATGAAGATGAAAACAACAAATTTAATGAGTTCTTCTTCTCACACTTCCCTCTTTTTGAGAGTCACATGAACAAGCTGAAGAGTGCAATAGAACAGGTAAACACAGTCTCTTTTGATTCCTGGACTTGTATTGCTGGATGTTTCCCCCAGCCCTGTCAGATGTAGGTCCTAATGCTTATTACTGGTTTACAGAAGTAGGATCAACTTGCTGTTGGGTATAGGAATTGCACCAGAGAAGAGCTTTGCTCCACAACATCTTTGATGATGTTTCTAACTGCTTGTAAAAGCACAACATGGGGAGGACAGAGCCTGCTGCATTGCACTGCAGGGGCTGCTGAGAGTGAGAACAGTCTCTAGAGCTGTACAAGCTTCCAGTAATCCTGAATCAAGGGGGAAAAGTGCTTTTAAGGCCACCTCAGCCTCCCTGTTTCAGCTGTGTCTGACTCTAGTGTATCGCAGGGTGAGGACTTACCTCTAGGCTATTCCAGGCTGTAACTACTGAGCTTCTTTCTTTCTTTCCCTTTATTTTACCCCAAAAATTGAAGTTTCAAATATGTGGTTAGATTTGCTTCAAATCTCTCATCTAGGGGAAACTTAGTGGTTACTTTGCCACAGCAGTGGAAACTTTGGCCCCTTTTATGCCTTGAATGTGACGAGAAGCACAGAAGCAGCCCAGGCTGCAGATGCATGTGCCTCACCTGTCTTTCCTCAGATAAGAAAGTCGACACTGGCATCATCACGTTATCACTTAGGAAAAACTATTTGCATGACTGGTTGCAGGAAAGATAAAGTCAAACACATGACTTTGCTTTCCATTTTCTGTGCTTCTGCAGCGCTGTGTCACTTATCTTGTTTAATGATTGTTTTCAAGGCTATGAAAATGAGTCGCCGATCAGCCGATGCCAGCCAGCGGAGTTTGGCGTATAACAGGATTGTTGATGCCCTGAATGAATTCAGGTGAGCTGTTGTCTCCGTGTGTTTCTGTCTTCAAAAGCACTCAAGTCTGCTTTAGAGGGATCTTAGCTGCAGGGTAAGTAACTCGTAGCGTCTAAAGTCCTCTGCAGACATACGTACAATGCAGGTATTGGTGATAGGAAGTCATAATCCGTGTACTTGGATATTGCCAACTGTGTGTATCCATCAGGGCTTGGTGTGAACAGGACATAAGTGATGAAGGTTTTCTGTGCTTTAGGTGGAAAGGAAGCTCCCAGCAACCTTTTAAATTGTCTTTTATGGCCCACTGAAATAGGGAAAAGAATTGCAAAGGCATGTTAGGGAAATCCTCCTCTAGTGTATGTTTTCCTGATGCATGAGCAAAGCAGGACCTTTACCCTGCTCTAAATTCCTCTCTAAAGGCATTTCAGATAACCAGCTACAGAGGAGGGGACTATCTTTGTCACACAGTAAAATGCAGCACTGTAATCGCTATCAGTACCTGCAGAGCGTCTCTGCTCAACAGTGAAGACACCAAGTAACACAGATAAGCACATCCCTGGCATTTAACTGTATTTTTTTCCCCGTGGTTTAAGTCATGAGGAGGGAATTAAATGAAATCCTTCTGTTTCAAGTGATTCATCTCCTCTCGCATGGGAGTGGCAGGGTGCTTCCTTTACAACCAGCGCAGAGCTACTTTCTAAAGACTTTATAGGAGACAGTGCTCTGATGTTATAAAAGGAAAATCCTGACTTCAGGATGTACTTTACAGAATATAGCGAAGGATCCCGAGGGCTCACTCCTTTCTGTACAATCCACTTCCTACCTGAGCGCCGTGGAGTAGGTGGTGTTGCAGGATGCAGGCACAGTGTATTTTTAAACTGCATTTATGTTTCAGAACCTCACCTCTGGGCAGCCGCCAGGAAGGGCAGAGGATCTGTTCCGTAGGGACAGGAGGCAGGGAAGGGAGAGCACGTGGGGCTGCGGTGAGAGGTGGATGGGATAAGCTGTGCCAAGAGAGGGAGCAGAGGGAGCTCGTGACTGCTGGGAGCTGCCGATCCTGCCCAGGGGCCTGAGACGAGTTCAGCAGCTCCGCTGCCCCCAGCCCTGCCTCTCCTCCCCATTCACTCCCGGAGCCGGTTCTCAGCATTCCCACCTCCCCAGCTGTCTTCCCAAATCCTCTCCCAAACATTCCCCCTCAAGATACACTCAGTGGACTTTGCCCGATCTGCTTTGTCCTTCCAAGTTAAACAGTTCCAGAGCGCTGGGGAGGGGCGCGTGTCCCGAGTCCCGCGTAGGAGAAGTAACCCTGACCACACAAACCCCACTTGGTTGCTTTTTCCTCCTCCTCCTCGGGAAGCTCAGTGGGATGGGATGAGGAAGGCTGCTGGGGGGCTGAGGAGGGGAATCACATCCCTGTGGATTGGCACTGTCCTGCGCTGGGAGCATTCACATGACACAGCCATTGCGCAACCAGCGCTGGGAGCGTGTGTCTGAGCACCAGTTTCATGCAGAGGTTTCCATGGTGATATAAATATTGCTCTTTAGTAGTGTAACGAGGTAAATTAAATCCAGTTTAATTCTGTATAAATGAATTTCCCGGGGCTGCAGCCTTCGGCATGGCTGCTTTGGGTCTGCTGGTTCATCTTTGCAGTGGGTGCACCAGCCCATGCGCCCAGCCTGGGCAAGGTCCTTGTGGCTCGGGATGACAGCATGTGCTGCCATCCAGAAGGGTGTTCCTGTGGCACACAAGAACCACTTGCTTCTCAAAGCAATGCAATACGTGTCTGGTAAGGAGTGGGGGGAAATAGGCATATTTAAATGCTGCAGGCTGGATGCAAAGATGCTTTGGCGCAGGTTCAGCAAACCCATTTAGGCCACGATTATCTCTTTAGGCGTCTGCTTTCCCACTGGAGTCACGGGGAAGTCAGGAGCCAGAGTCCTTTGGTGAACCTGAGACTTGCGTCGGTTCCTGCCCTCTTAGCAAATCATGCTGGAGGGAAGAAGGGTGCTGACTTCAGTGGGTTGGTGTTTCTAAAACGTAATCCCGTGCTGCATTAACTCATTGCAGTCTTTGGTTTTTTGGAAGGAGCGTCTTCTTTTCCTTCCTTTCCCCTCTCCTTTTTCCTTTGTCTGCTCTTTCCTCTCCTCTGTTCTGATCTTTCCCCTTCTGCAAGGGGAAAGCAGCTTCTAGGCTGCTTCTGCAAACTGATGCTGTTGATAACTCTGCCCTCAGTTTGGTGCTCGGCTCCAGGCCTATCCTTATATCACTCACTTTACAGCAGTTCTGAATTTTCTGAAGCACTGCTGGATTTAGCTATTAACACTTCATTTGGAGGCTTAAAGCTCTCCTTGGCTGTCAGCTGTGCAGACACATGACTTACGAAATAAGCTACTGTACTTGCATAAACATTTTGGCTCCCTCTTCTCTGAGGCCAGTGCAGCACATTGGTAATGCAGATTATGCATCTCCTTAATACCTGTGTGCAAGTGCACAGACTGGCAGGGAAACACCGAGCACAGGAGCTGGGGAAGCACCTCTCTGCTGTCTGGCAGCCAGATTGGATCCAGGTTTGTGCCAGTCGTTTGTAAGCAGCTTATGCTGCTGTGAAGCCAGGGGTGCTCAGCAGTGCAGGCTGGCCCCTGTGCCCTGCTCCAGCACTCCTGCAGTGACTATTGCCTTTGTTTTCTTCTTTTTTAAGGAAAAATCATTTTTAGAAGGAAAGGATGGGGATAGGGAGCAAAAGCATGTGAGTTCATCACAGAATACAGACCGGTTTGTGTTGGGAGGGACCTTAAAGCTCCTCCAGTTCCAACCCGCTTCCACTAGAGCAGTCTCCCCTCTGGCAGGTTAAAGCCATTAGGAGCTGCCCAGCGCTGCAGGTTGGAGTGTTTCCCACAGGGTGGAAGGGAGCTGCAGAGGGATGCTCTCATCCACGTTCAGTCTGTGCAGCACCAGGGGATGTGTCTCAGACTGATACTACTCCAGTACAAAGGCTGATACTAATCCAGGACAAAGGCTGGGAAGGTTTGTGGTGTGTCTGGGTGAGGAGGGAGCAGCTCGACACCCAAGCCACGGCCGTGCTGTGCCCAGGGCAGTGCTGTGTGTACCCCAGTGCCATCTGCACCCACAGAGAGACAAACCCCAGCGGGTTTGCAGGAAGGGGTTTGCTCAGGGCTTCGTTTTCGCTGGGCTGGGTTTGGTTTCAAGCCGCTGTTCAATGCAAAGGTGTTTCCTGAGCAGCTTCCCCAGCCCCTGCTGCACCATCACTGGTGCTGAGGTGCCCGTAAGCTGCAGCTGGAGTTCAGCCCCTAAATATAAACCATTTTAAGTGCACTTGGCACAGGGTGCCCTGAGAAGCTGTGGCTGCCCCATCCCTGGCAGTGTTCAAGGCCAGGTTGGACACAGGGGCTTGGAGCAACCTGCTCCAGTGGAAGGTGTCCCTGCCCGGGGCAGGGGTTGGAGCTGGAGGAGCTTTAAGGTCACTTCAACCCAAACCAGGCTGGGATTCTATGAACCCTCAAAGGAACTGATTCTATCATTAACTGAACTTTCCCTCACATGCCGATGCTGATGCTGGGGGGTGGCAAACAGAGGGGGCTGCGTGCTCCATATGCTGAGGGGGGTTAATCTGATTTCTAACGATTGTTATCTTTCAAATCCTACTGACCTCCCCATCGTGTTTTGGACATTTTTGTTGCCTTTTTTCCTTTCTTTTCTCCCTTTGTTTCGGTTGGCTTTTTCTTTGCATTGCCGTTTCTCCCCAGGCTGTGTTTCTGTTCCCTCCTCACTGCAAGCAGCGGTTCCTCCTGCCTTTGCCGTGCTGGAAAGCAGCTTCATCCTTGCCCTTGGTCTGTGTGGCAGCGCTGCCGGTGCGGGCTGGAGGGTTCCCTGTGCTGCAGTCACATGCCTGCTGGCCGGGGGCCAGGGCAATCTGATCTGGGGCTGAGGAAACACTATCGGCCGCAGATGCAGCCAGGGTTACCAGAATAGTAAATAACAATCACAAGACTCGGGCTATCTGTTCAACGAAAACAAATACTTGAAAACGTTGCCTTTAGGACAGAAGTAGTTTCTCTCTTTTTATCAAAACAACCGAGCTGCAAGAGGCTGGGCACGGCTTAGTTTGCACAGGAAGGAGAAGGGAGCTGTGTGTTATGTTATGGGATTTATCTTCAGTTTCTGAGGTCAGCTGTGGCTGGGGGGTGTAAGATTTGATCCTTGCTTTGAGCTTTGAAGTGCCTGGACTGGAGGTTTCTCCCTTGCTTTGGGCCTCTTTAACATCCACTCCAGTTAATGGGCTGTGAACAGGAACCTTTCCTTAATAATCCCACCTCTAGTGCTGCTCTGAACTGGCCCAGCCAGCAGCAAGCCCTTGGCGGGGCTGTGGTGCTGGTGAGCACAAGGATAACTTGACTTTCCCTTCTCCAGCCCACTGACTGTTTCTGGCTTTCCGTATCATCCCGGTGCCAGTGGAGCATCTGGAAGACTAACCTTTGAGGAAGTCAGGGTTGATTTTGGCTACTGTGAGCATGCAGGATGGATTTTCATAGAACCCCAGCCTGGTTTGGGTTGAAGGGACCTTAAAGCTCGCCCAGCCCCAACCCCTGCCCCGGGCACGGACACCTTCCACTAGAGCAGGTTGCTCCAAGCCCCTGTGTCCAACCTGGCCTTGAACACTGCCAGGGATGGGGCAGCCACAGCTTCTCTGGGCACCCTGTGCCAGCGCCTCAGCACCCTCACAGGGAAGAGCTTCTGCCCAAGAGCTCATCTCAGTCTCCCCTCTGGCAGGTTCAAACCATTACGCTTGTCCTGTCCCTACATCCCTTGTCCAAATCCCCTCTCCAGGTTTCTTGTAGCCCCTTCAGGCACTGGAGCTGCTCTAAGGTGTCCCCGGAGCCTTCTCTTCTCCAGGCTGAACAAGAACATTGTATTTAGTGCAGACTGGTAGAAGAAACGAGGCAGAGAATGCCACTGTCCCCCACAAACCCCATCTTCTTGAGCAGCCCCAGTGACTGTGGCATGGTGCACAGTCACCCCTGGGGTCCGGTCACTGCACAGCTCTTTCTCCTCGGCCATGGAACCACCATGGAGTAACTCCTTCCTCCCCTGAGCACCCTCGTCCCACGGCTGCCGTGCCAGGCTCTGCTTCCCAGGGAGCTTCCCTTTAAACACTAACCCACGGAAGATTTGGCAGCTGCTGCTGGAGTGTGTCTGCCCAACGTGCACAGTCACTGCTTTACTGCTGCAGGGGTCTATACACGGTTAGAACGATGTATCCAGAGAAGATCTGGAGAAATCGGAGGCGATAATAGGGATAATCGTGTAAATCTTCCTCTTGTAAAGCAAAAACACCTCTTCTGGAAATAGTGCATTTGGAGAACGGGGAGAAACCTGAACTGATCCATCGCTTCCTTTGTTGTTTTGGGTTGTTTTCAGGCTCACGTTTTTGCTGTGATGAAAATACAGGTTCTTGTGGTGTCATAATGTAAGCACTGTACTTCAGACTATAATTACTTTAGATTCTAGAGGAGTTTAACAGTGATCTGAAGGGTTTTAATCTGGTGTTCTACTGCAGAGCCAAAGTCCTAATAACACATTCGCTGTCCTCTGTAGAGTAACAGAGGATGTGGGTAGGTGCAGAGTCCTTGTACCCAGGCATAATTGTGACTCTCCCATGCTGTATTTAATGCTAAAGAAGCAAGTTGGACCCCTGCTCCCCAAATCCAACCTGTGGGGGGTTTGGCCTAGAGATAAACCAAGTTTTGAGAGCAAGAAAGAAGTTGAGGTATTTTGGTAAGTCAGATACACATAAACCTGCCCTAGTTGTAAGTCAGGCAGAACTGTAGAGGAATCACATGTTTTGAATGAAATGGAGAGAAATCAGGGAGATGGCAACAACAAATCCTTCAGTTCTTCTCCATGCAGAGCAGGGCAGATACTGACTTTGGGCAGTGAATGTTACTGTGTTTGGGAGCAGCTTAGGTAGATGTGTGAAGAACCTGTGAGGCTTAACACTCTGGTGGATGGGTGAATTCGTACTGTCTAATGAACATGGTTTGGGTGATGGTTTGGGAGAGAAACTTCATTCCTGATAGAAATGTCAGCTGGAACTCACTGTTGCAGTAAATCCTTTGAGTTGGGATCTCTGCCTCTGGGGTTTTTTGTTTAGTCTGAAGGATTTTGGGGTTTTGTTTTCCAGAACAACTATTTGCAATCTCTACACGATGCCGCGGATCGGGGAGCCTGTCTGGCTTACGATGATGTCGGGGACACCGGAAAAGAACCAGCTTTGCCATCGCTTCATGAAGGAATTCACTTTCTTGATGGAAAATGCTTCTAAAAACCAGTATGGTGGATTTCAGTTCTTAAATGACCCACGTGTTTATGCCTTTTTATTTCAAACCGATTTTTGAATCAGGCTTTAAAGTCCTGGTAATCAAAGATTTCAAAGGCCATCCATAAACACCTCCTTTTTAAAACAAAGCTAAGGTATCCCATTAAACGCCTGCTTCCCTACAGTCCTCTGCATCTTGGTAGAGACTGAACACTTGAAACAGGTCCATAGGAAGCGCGTGATGGGTGTGTATGTCTGGAAGGGGGTGAACATGCCTTATGAAATGCATTAATCTGCCTTTCAAAATCAGTTATCATATGACGAGCAGGGTTAGACATCCAGCTAGAGCCGTGTCTGCAACACTGTCTGACCGCAAATTGCTCTTAACCCCGACTTCTGTGAGATGCCACTAAAGGAATGGTGTGTTTCATTGGTGCTCACCTCTCTGCCCTCTGGCCAAAGCCACGAGCAGTTGTTAGAAACTGAGACAGAGAATGTTCTTGATAAACTCGGGAGAATCTGATAAATTTACTCTTTTGTCAACACTTCATCCTCCTTCCCCAGGGCATGAATAGGGGAAGCTTTTAAAGCGTTTGGCTCCATTGAAGTCCTAAAACGAGCACAAACATGTGAAGTTGGAGTGGGAATGGCACTGGAAACCAGCTGTTAGCTCCAGGGAAGCTACTCTCTGCAGGGTGGGAAAGGGAAGGGGCTGCTCCTCACCATCTTCCAGCCTTGCCACCAACGTTGTCACCTTCTCTCTCCCCGAGTGGGAGGTGACAGCAATCGGCATGGTCCTTCTCCTGCCTCAGTGCAATGGGAGAAGCCACAGGGAGCTGTGAGGGGTTCAAAGGTGTTTTCTTAAAATGAGTTCCTTGGATTAGCCCCTTCGGTCCCTGCCATTCCGAGCCCTTGGTTGCATTTCAGTTGTCATTTGTTCGGGTTTGTTTGCTTTATTTAAAGTACAGTAAGATTCACACTGATGGAAGCAAGAGGAAAGTCAAACCCTGTATCCTTTTCAATCCAGTTCTAAATCTCCTTTTCTCCTTTGGCTGCCTCCAGTGAGGAAGCAGCTAAATTTAAGCTGCAGGTTCCTGATGCTGCACATAAACTATTGAAATAGCATTATTTTGGGACTTGGGTGTTGGACTTTCCCTCCCCAGCACCTGAACTGCTGCAGCAGCCGCCAGCACCATCTGTCGGCACATGGGCCTTGGGCTGCGCTTCTGCTTGGTCCTCCTGCCAGGAACAGGGACTGGGAAGCAAAGTCTCCCTCCATGGAGCAGAGTGCTCTGTCACTGCCATGCCTCAGATAGCTCACATTCTTCAGAAAGGTTTTCCACTTCACTTGCTCAGCTGGTGAGGGCTGTTGTGCCAGGGTAAGGACCCAACCTCACTGGCTGAGCTGCAGAACTTTGGGGGGTCTAGTTTTGGAAAGGAGCAGCCACATGTGCTGAAATTGCCTAACAGTTAGATGAAAGAACACGACACTTACTTAGCTGTCTTATAGGTTTGGTAGCAATAGTCTTCCTCCCCATCAGTAGTCTCAGATCTTAAGGGTTTGGGATCTCCTTCCTGGAGTACTGAGGCCACACAGTGCTACTCTTACCTTACAGCGAGCAAAGTAAGTTGGTTTTCAGATGCTGTACATCATAATGCTTGCAAAATAGGAAGTCTCGTGATTATTGCTAAACAGAGGGGCTGAGATGCCACAAGTTTAAAATATTTTCTTTTGCTTTAAATCTTCTAAAAAAGAGCTTTGCAGGGTGGGAGGGAAGCTGCAGCCCTCCCTTCTCTCCCCAAAGACCTCAAGGGATGATCTCTGCTGACACTGTTAGGTTGTTTCTGCAATCCTCGATTCGTAGAGGCTGCAGAACTGCTGTCAGTTTGACACTGTGAGTGTGTACCTGGAAATAATGCTGTTGAACATTGTGCTTTCAGGTTTTTACCAGCTTTGCTGACTGCTGTCCTGACTAACCACTTGGCCTGGGTCCCCACCGTCATGCCCAACGGCCAGCCGCCCATCAGAATCTTCCTGGAGAAGCATTCTTCCCAGAGCGTGGACATGCTGGCCAAAACTCATCCCTACAACCCGCTGTGGGCACAGCTCGGTAGGTGACAAACATCTCCAAACCCCAACAGCTTCGCATCGGTGGGTATGTGTGTGGTGGGTTTTATGGATGCTTATTACTTCCCCACAGAGTTAATTCTTTAAATCCAAAAGGAGACAAAAGTGTGGATTTCAAGCTATATTTCACTTTATTTTTTATATGTGCTTTAATTTCTTAAGGCATTAGCAATTAGAAAATGACAGCCGAAAACTCAAGCCCTCTTTAGTCATCTGCAGCAGGTCTCTTAAAGCCGCCTGCTCTGGTGATGATGGGAGATTCCACTCTTCCTGTCATCCCTCTGTAAGGAAGATCACTTTATCTTTTGGGGATGCTGTTGTCAATAAGCCTCGTTTTGGAAAGAACAAATCAAGGAAATCCATCTTTTGATAAGGCATGAACATGGTCTCAATACAACAGGCAAAGGAGTAACACAGTGCAGGAAATCATGATGAGCAACCCACTAGGTCAGATCTCAAAGCTCAGCTGAGTAGGTAGCTAGATACACTGTCTTCTGATTGCTGAGTATGGGAGATGAGTGAGCTTCCTACTCTCTGGACAGATTGTCCTGCTCTGCACACAAACTGCAATGGAATTTGGTTAGGGAAGGGAAGGGAAAGTTATGCAAGGTTGCCTTATTGTGGTGTAGGCAGGAACGGCCAGGGAGTTGGCAAGAAGACTTGATTTCAGCACTCACAGGACTCAGGGGATATGCTCTGGTTAGGCTGGCCTTCAGGGCCTCTTGGATTCCTTGCCCCCTTATCCCTGCATCATGTGCTTCTGGAACAAGCCATGCACAGGCACTTCCCCATGTGAATCTGGAGTACAGTCAAAGCAACTCATCCAACCCATAGCAGAGCTCCAGGGGAGTGAAGGGAAGGAGGTTGGCTTCAGCTCTGCACCCACCACTGTCACTTTTGCCCTCTCTCTTGGCATGGGCTTGTTCCTCCTCAGAGCTTTCTCCCTGTGGGTAAAAGTTCAGCCGTTTCCAGACTATCCAGGGTAATTCAGAGCAGATGCCTCCTGTCTCCCGTGGCTATATAAGGAACCCAGGAGATGTGCCTCCAAAGCTAGGCACTGAAGTTAGGTGCTGTGAATGCTCCCTAATGTGTGAGATCAGATGTCTCCCTGACCAGTGTGTCACCTTACGTACGATACCAACAGCATCTTTGGGGTTCTCTCTGTTGAAAACAGAATACTAGCTTAGCTGTCATCACTCTTCTGCTTTAGCATTTTCCTGTTGTAGATCTGGCTGTTGAAAACTGGCCACAACAATTGTCTGATAGAAGAATAATTCATTTTAAAGATGCAAACTAATTGTCTCCTTCCTGTTTTAGGTGACCTGTATGGGGCTATCGGATCGCCTGTGAGATTAGCAAAAACAGTCGTGGTTGGCAAAAGGCATGACCTGGTACAGAGGTTGCTTTATTTCCTTACTTACTTCATCAGATGCTCTGAACTTCAAGAGACGCATCTGCTAGAAAATGGGGAAGATGAAGCCATTGTCATGCCTGGAACTGTTATAACAACCACGCTGGAGAAAGGAGAAGTAGAAGAATCTGAGTATGTGCTTGTCACGATGCACAGGAACAGGGGAAACCTGCTACCAACGGAGTCTGAAGAGACAAGAACTCCCAACTGCAGCTGTAAATACTGCAAGTGCCCCATCTCCCTTGCACAGAACATAGAAGGTGTTTCACAGCAGGAGAGAGAAGACGCACAAAACACTCCTAAGGTAGAGCTGGAAACTTCCTCGGATGAGAACAGAACTATTGTTCCTGACGACTGCCAGGAGGATGCTGTTGATGTGAAGCAGCCGCGGCCCTGCCTGGACACAAAACTGGAGACCGTGGTGTGCGCAGGGTCAGCTTCACCGGAGAAGCGTGTAGGGCCGGAATGTGGTCTGGAGCCAGGGGCAGACGTGTGGAGGAAGGACGAGCCGCTGGAGCCGGGCAGCCAGGCGGTGGGCGGAACGCGGTCACCCGGCATCGCGGTGGAGAAGAAGCCCCCGGATAAGCTCTTCCGCGACGCGTTCCCCTGCGGCGCTGCCGAGGCGCAGACAAAGGTGACTTTCCTCATCGGAGATTCCATGTCACCCGACTCAGACATCGAGCTCAGGAGCCAGGCAGTGGTGGAACAAATCACCAGGCATCACAGCCCGCCAGCGACGGAGGAGGGAGCGTCTGCTGATCAGAACTGTGAAGCTAAACAAGCTGTTGAGGACCAAAATAGAGACTGTGGGACAGCTGAACCCTTTCCTCCCGTTGCGAGTGAGCATCAGAGCTGGAATCCAAACCCGTACAACGCCGAGAGCATGAGTCTGTTTGATGAGTATTTCACTGATGACAGCTCAGTTGAAACCCGGACTGCTGACGATATTCCAGGGCAGGCAGCTCCGGACCTCCTTGCTCACAACAGTGGTTTAGAGTTCTCTAAAAAGCTCTGTACAAAGAGCAGCAAACCACCGAGTGAGTTTTGTAAGTTTATGGACTCTGTTCGACAGGAGACCTACAAAAACTGCTTCAATGAGCAGGACCAAAGAGAGAAAATCTCTATTCGTGTCCCCCATGGGGACAGGGAAAACGTAGAGAAAAAAGTCGCCCCGGGAATTGACTGGGACATTCCAAGAAATGAGAGTTCAGATAGTGCCCTGGGTGACAGCGAGAGCGAGGACACCGGTCATGATCTAACGAGACTAAGCGGGAACTATTATGGAGGAGAGCAGGAAGACTGGGCAGAAGAATATGAGATTCCCTTCCCTGGGTAAGTAGCTTTCAGCAGTAGTGGAGCCTAAAAATGATAGAGCCTCTTCTCATGTCACATGTTTGGAGGAATGTAGCCAAACTTGCCATCAGAGGTTGGAAAAGTGTCTCTTGAGCTTGCTGGTTGTAAAAGAATACAGAGAGATCAGTGGTCTGGAAAAAAGTACTAATTGTGCATTGAGACCTTGGCTTGTGTCCTCTCCTTCCACAATGGGCTGGCTGCAAAAGCTGACTTCAGGCTCTTCCTTGTTAAAAAGTGCTTGAGTAGAGGTTAGAAGAGATGATAGAAGTGAAAATGCAGCTTCCCTGTCAGCTGAATTTGTTGTTTACTGTTGTCCACCTCTTTGCTGTGCCTTTCTTGCAGGTCAAAGCTAGTTGAAGTGAACTCTGTCCAGCCCAGTATTGCCAATTTTGGAAGATCCTTGCTAGGTGGCTACTGCTCGTCTTATGTCCCTGACTTTGTTTTGCAAGGAATCGGAAGCGATGAGAAGCTGAGGCACTGTTTGGTGTCAGATTTGTCTCATGCTGTGCAGGTAATTAAGCTATATTTGGTAAATGCATCTCTCGCAGTAGGCAAAGGCAAATGTTTGTGAATGCACAAACCTGCCAGAAGGGGAAATATTTACCTCCAGTCCCAGGTCACCAATTTTGAGTACTCCCTCATTTACATCTGGAAAACATGGGTGTTTCCCTGCAGATCTGGAGCACAGATTCCCACTGAAGCCAGCCGAGGGGCTTGTGCCCTTGGGAAGATGGATCCCTGTGCTGAGCCATGGAGAAACCACTGTCACCTATAGGCACAGCAGCCACTGATGGTTGTGTGCCCACAGGGTGGGATGATGTTAGACAAGACCAAGGGCTGACGTTGCTGTTCATCCCTTCCCGGGCACGGTGTCCTGCTGCAGTGGTCACGCAGGAGCTCCCTTTGCTCCCTCCTTTCCTCAGGCTGTCACTGAAAAGCATGATCCTGCTCCCTTGTTTATTCCCAAGGGAATGGGGAAGGACCCACACGCAGAGTAGGGAGCAGGCAGTCCCCTGGGAGCCTCCGAACGTCCCCTTCTTCCACAGCTCTCCAGTTAAGAGATGCATCACGTTCTCCACGTTACTGTCCCCTTTCCTTGTGCCCAGCTCTGCAGGGGCTGAGTTTCATTCCCTGCGTGCTTGTTCTAGGGGTACTTAAGCCGTGTATGAAGTGTAACTGAACTTTAGGCAACAGAGGCAGCAGTGTGAGGTAGCTGCTGCCAGGAAACAGATGTGTCTGAAATACAACCTAGCTGTGGTGCACGTCCATCAGGAGACTTGGATTTCAATTGCAGAAGAGGGTATGAAAGGGCTGAGCAAGATTTTATGTGCTTATCTTAAAGGAAAACAGAAACTGCATCCCAGCCCTGTGTGACATCCCTGGGGCTCTTTGGAAGGAGATGCTCCCTAACATGAGGTCCAGCCCCAAAAAGTACTGAGGAACGACAGTGGGTTCCAAATGGTCCCTTTAAAACCTCCCTGGCTGGGAGGAGTGGAGGAGCTGGCGCAGGCTTGGCTCCGGACTCCCTCTGCTGGCCTTCCCAACAGGGGAATGCAGCGACAACCGGCAGTAAACCCGACCTGTTCGCACTGCCTTGATGAACGGCAAGTTGGGGCTTTGGTACTCTGAGTTTTAGGGTTTTAAGATATACTTTAGATAGGTCAGAGCTCTCTTTATATCCAATATCAAAAGATACAGTTGTCAGCCAGTGACTCACTTCCAACCCTGGAAGAAACTGTAAAATAGCAACTATCCTCCTAAGGCCGTGCCTTGCTCACAGTAACGCTCTGATCGTAATGGAGGGACACGGTGTTAGCTCATGATGCTGTGTTTCAGACAAAGCAGTCTCTGGGATGCCATCCCTGCTCTCCAGGGTGGACTTTGTAAAGAGACCGTGGTCACTTGTCCTCCTCAGCGCTCTGCTATCCCTGTTTTGTTTCCAGCATCCCGTCCTGGATGAGCCGATCGCGGAAGCCGTCTGCATCATTGCAGACACGGACAAATGGACGGTGCAAGTGGCCAGTAGCCAGAGGCGAATGATTGACAACAAGCTGGGGAAGGAAGTGTTAGTGTCGAGTCTCGTCTCCAACCTGCTGCATTCCACTCTTCAGCTTTACAAGCATAACTTGTCTCCAAACTTTGTAAGTACGAGTGAGGATGGAGAGGGCAGTGGCAGCATCCTCTCACCGCATGGCTTCAGGAGGTTGTGAGCTTCTGCTTGGTTTATGTACCCAGAGACACAGTCTCAGTAGCCAGCACGTCCCCTGATGGAGCTGTTTGAGCTGCCCGTTCAAGCACTGCTTTGTAATCAAGGCAGCTGTCTCATTAATTCTGGTTTAACATGCAATCAAAGGCTTCTGCTCAAAAGTAAGAGTCTTGCCAGTGAGTATCTTACTAATTATTCTCCTAGACACAGCCACGGGAAGGCAGTAGGTGTTTGGGGTCCGTGCTGTGTGGCTCTGCGGCTGGATGCAGTTTGGATACGGCGCGGTCCTCTCCCTGACACAACTCTCTTTGCTTTCTAGTGTGTTATGCACCTGGAAGACCGGCTGCAGGAGCTCTACTTCAAAAGCAAGATGCTGTCCGAGTATCTGAAGGGCCAGATGAGGGTTCACGTGAAGGAGCTGGGCATGGTGCTGGGGTAGGATCACAAATCCCTCCGAGCAGTGCTGCCCCGGGTTTCCTGGTGCCACATCCTCCGCCTGGGCTTGTTCTAAGCGCAGTGAAATGGATTCCTAAATGGGACTGGAACCGTGGTGTGGCATAAATCACCCATGGCCGCGGGCTTCTCCTTAGCCATTGCTTGATCCCGAGGATCCCCCAGCCTTTCTCTCTTCCCTCCGGGCAGGAAGGTGGGCTCAGCACTCCAGAGCTTGTCAGACTCTTTGCTTAGTTAGTCAGTCACCACTGAACAACGTGGGGCACCTGATTGCCCCAGCTTGACTTT